TAATATTTTAATTTAATGAATTAATAAGAGTAAATTGTTTCTGCTCACGTATCTTAATCATTTGTTATCAATCGTAGCATTCTTTTTTAACCATTTTCAAATGATAATGGATGCAGAACATACACTCACGTACTTATGTGCAAGAATGTGCACAACTTTCAAACAGTTCGAAATCAATTGCATTGATTATTTCTGATCACTCAAAGGCAGGCTCTAGTGATCAATATCAGTAAGTTGTTGTGATCGCTTGAGAACAGATCAGTTTTGTCTCTACTTTCTTCTCTTTTCAGATTGTACTCACTTTTAAGTTTTTTTAAATTTCACTTTTTCTTCAAAAAATTAATTGAAGCAAAAAATTTTTTGCACTTAAAGCATAAGAAATCCAATTATTTGCTATTACGTTCAACACGTCTGCTTACGTGTAAATCATACTGTAAGTAGTTTTTACGTTGAATAAAACTGTGGTATGAATGAATACTTACTTACATGTATGTTTGTCATTTTAAACTTGCAAAAATGAAAAAAGAGCAAAAATGGTCTTTCTTTCACTTTTGTTACATTTTAGTAGTCTTAAATGAATCAAAGAAAAGAATTTTGTACATTTTTTCTTTTTATTTTAAATGAATTACATATTTTTGAATATTTTCATTATCTTTTCACAAATTTTAGCTAATTTTATTGCTAATTTTGCTTTTTAATATAAATAATTATTATTCATAAATAATTATAATTTTTATAATAGTTTTCATTATTTATCACGTACTTATTACATGATTACACAATCCACAATATTCATATACCAAGTAATGAATTCACATATGAACCCGAATTTCTTTATTAATAATTAATAGGACGTCTGATTTCAGTCAAACTTGCTTGATGAATTTACATATTTTTAACAAATAATAACTTCAAGTTAAGTTGTATTATAATCTATTTTTTTGCTTATTTTGTTAGGAAAAACAGACTTCTTAATTTCCGCATTTTACGTGATTCATTAATAACCTTACGTATTCTCACTGAGAGATTACACTTCAATCTCAAGAGGAAAATTTAGAAACAATATCAAAACTTTTTTTGCACACTTGACAACAATTTCAAGAATTTGCTATTTTCCTGAAAATTTCACATTATTTCATTTTTTTTGGAATATTTCAAAAATTGTAAATTTAAATTCTTTATTTTTCGATTATTTTACAATTTTTTACTCATTTACTTAGGGATTAAGTTTATAAGTAGTTTTGTCAACTTTATTGACATATTATATTCAGATACAAAGCACAGTAAATTCTGACTAATAACTTTTGTAAAAATTTGGCAATGGCAACATACAAGTTAGTATTCATTATACCACAATTTTATTCAACGTAACATTTTGTTAATAGTTTTTACGTAAACGTAAAAGCTATTAACAACATTCCGTTTATGTAAAAACTATTTGCAGTATGGTTTACACGTAAGCAAACGTGTTGAATGTAATAGCAAATAATTGGGTTTTTTATGAAAAGGCAACTTTCACTTTGTCTTAATTTTAATTAAATTGTGTTTTAAGAGATAATTACGTTTTTGCATGGATATTTATCAGAGAATACAAATAACTGCTCGATCAGTTCAATCACAATCGAATCAATCTTTTTTGATACTTTTGTAAATGCAATTTTATTTTTCCATTTATTTTATTTTTATACTTTTGAAACTTTTGCTGGAAGAGAGGAATGGAGCAGCTGTTGTTCGGAAACAAACGAATTTTTTTCAATCTGAATTTCTTCATAATTTTAGCTTCTGCTGGCCAAATATTTCTACACAGTTATGCATTATATTAATTTTGTTGTGTTCAGTTCTGCCATAATCTGATTTCAGTTTCATATTATTGTTATTATGATTATTATTATTATCATTATTATCATTATTGTTATTAGTATTATTAGTATTAGTATTAATAATAATATCATTATTAGTTACTTCATCGCGCTTTAATTTGAAGCTTAAACTATCAATTATATTTCCAGGAATTTATATCATAATTAACCTGCATCGCTAAAATCACAAATCTTCATAAACTAAGCTGACAAAGTAATTAATGCTAGCACAAATAATAGCGTCAAGTTTCTTTATGTTAAATTGTCAGTTTGATAAAAATATTCAAATTACTGAAGCAAATTATCAGTGCTGGGTCGCTTCATTTTTAAACTAGTTTATTAGTAAGTTTGGTTTTGATAATTGCAATGAAAGACAAGTTATTTATATTATTTTATTTCTAAGCAAATTTCTCAGGCAAAAAATTTACAAAATCCATTTTAAACTAATATTTTCAAGCATCTCAGCATAAAAATTTGTGTAATATTTTTGGAACTAATTCTCGTAGCTGCATTTAATCGTAAGTACTATATAATTTGAATATCGATGGTGCAAATTGCAAAATTGCTGTAATATTTTAATTTGATAAATACTCAATTAATTAAATATCCAGTAATTAAATTAATTAAAAATTACTTTGCTAAATGAGAATTAGCTTCAATTTTTAAGAACACCTGAGGACTAATATTTATAATTAACCATTGCTTTATTATCAATTTATCTAGTGATTTTAGTTTTCAAGAGGTGAAATCAAAGACTGATCTTATCCGTCAAATTTTAATCATTCGTAGATTTTCAATCATTTCGTTGATTTAATGACTTACCTCAAATTCCGAGAAATTTGATTAAATACAGCCTGATAAATAAATTCATATTATCTTTTTGAGTATAAAATTTTTCAAAATTAAGACTCAAAAGAAAAAAAACAAATCTTTAACAAGTTGAGCATTATTGCTTAAATTAAGTGATTGGTAGATCAAATGATCAAGTGATCGAATCTTTAATTCGTAACATTTTCAGGGAAAAAATTGAAAGAAAATGGCAGAAGTTTTTGTTGAACTTTGCTGAAGCATACTTTACTTTAACAAATAACTTTAAGTGTGTGTGTTCATCTGTCTACTGCTTGGCAAATAATATCATCAGCTATTGAGTGAAGCTAAAAAATTTGTTCAAAATTTTTTGCAATTTACTTTAAATTTGATTTTTTATGCTCTGAATACATTTTAGTGATCAATTTTATGAGCAAAGTTAAAATAATTTGAATAAATTTTTAGCAAAAAAAAAAATCAAAAAAAACAAAACAGCTAAGAAAGTTAGCAAAGATTTAATTATTTCTCCTTAAAGCACTTCGAAAACGAATCAAATGTTTTCAGAATTAGAATTCTAATTCATTCATTTTGATCTAAATCATTTCGAATTCATTATTTCAACATTAATCGTTTTAATCAGTTCACTCTGATCTAAATTAATTAATTCAATTCAACTTTGACTTAAACTGCTTTACTTTTATTTTTAATTATATATTTACGAGTTTTTTTAATGCTTTCTAAATACTTTTCATTACATTCAAGAATTTTTTGCACACTGTCAAGTTTAAAAATGATTTTCTTATTTTTATCAACGTATCAATGCTCTTATATTTTTCACTTTGTGCAGTACTTTGTGTAAATTCTAACAGTCTTAAAATTTTTAAGCTTTGATTGTTTAACATTAAAAGAACTTAATAACTACTAATTTTAATCAAATTATGTATCATATACTTAATAAAAGTTCATACAGTAATAATTAGCAAGTAGAGATGAATTGTTAAAAAGAAGCTCAGATTTTGTTTTTATTTGTATTTATAAATTTCAATAATTCAAAATCAAATTCAGGAGTACACAAATTATTTGGAAGTTTATTTTAAGTTTTTTGTTGAATGTACAGAAAATGTGAATATTTTTCGTGCTTGCTTCTTACATATTGAAGTAGTTTCATTTCACTTATTTTAATCTGTTTTAAAAGATTTTAATATGGCAATAAGACTGATAAGTAAGTCCATAAATTACAATTTTCATTTTTTAATTAATTAATTTCTGCATTTTCTACAATTTCATGACAAAAATATTATTTGCTTTTGTATAATTTTTTGAATAATTTCGTATTTTCAAGCAGTTTAAAACACTTCCTTAAATAAATTATTTTTATTATTATTCTTAGTATTTTGGATCTTGAATGATTTTTTGTTTTTGCTGAATATTGACAATTTATGCCTTCAGGTTTTTAAATATACTCTTAACGACTGTTTGTGTGACAAACTTGAATGTTTTTGATAACAAATACTGAGAGTTTAAAAAGTTAAAAATATGCGATAGATTTGCTTTAAGAAATTTTTTCAACAAACTTAAAATTATCTATAAAATATCGATTTAAAACTTTGATTTAAACTTCATATTTTTGTATATTCACATGAACAATATGTGAAGACGAGTATGCCTGAATAAGCATGTGACACGCAGAAATCTTAAGAATCCACTACACAGAAGGTGTCTGAAAAAAAAATTTTTTTTGGCGAGAACATGGAAGTTCATCCTCTATTGAATTTTGAATTTTTAAATTTAAGGAAAATGAAAAGCTGATTTATACAGATTTCAGAACTGCCACAATATATTTGCTAGAATTTGATCATAAATATTCCTAATGAATAATATCTCAAGACAAAAATGTAAATAAATCTTGCGCTCATTTTGAAAAAATTGAAGTGTAAAATTTACGTTTGGAAGCGTGACGTATATTGCAGATGAAACTGAATTGGAATAATTTCGTTATTTTATTCCCAGAGTTTTAAAATTAATTTTTAGTGATTTGATGTGACGTAACTGTATTTGTATCAAATATATTCTACGTGAACAATGAACCATTATTTTTAGAACAGTAATAAATATTCACAAAGCCATAAATATGATTATAAATGTTATTTAATATATGCAAACTGAATAATAAAAATTACATTTATCACGAATTCAATATGAGATTTATTTGCTTATTATTTCCTCATTTCAGTATAAGTTTCACATGTGAAAAGTGCGTATATTACACACATTTTATTTACGTGTAAGTCTACTGGCTGTATACGTAAATTTTAGATTATCTTTGGGAAAAAAATGACGGAAGCTTGGGTAACGTTAGCGACGTCAGATGGATATGCTGTTGGAGCACTTGTCTTGGCTCATTCTTTAAGAGCCTCAAAAACTACACGTAAATTACACTGCATGATTACAAGTGGTGTATCACAACCACTTAGGTTAGTTATTTCAATTTTTATCTAATTTTATATCAAAAAAGACTAACGAAAGTAAGCTTAAATTATTTAACTGTACTAAATTATACCATTTTCTTATTTGTAATATTCAATAATTTGTTGTATTAAAATCAATAATATAAAAAAATTAACTAAAGTCAAAAGTTTTTTAAACCATTTAGAGAAGAATTAGAACAAACATTTGATGCTGTAAATTTGGTAAGTGTAATGGACAGCGAAGATACGACTAACTTAAATTTGATCAATCGACCTGATTTGGGAGTTACTTTTACTAAAATACACTGTTGGAGATTAACACAGTACAGTAAATGTGTTTTTCTTGATGCTGACTGTCTTGTAAGTTAATTGTTATTATATATAATTATCATATGTGCTCAATATTTATGCAAATTTTAGTTTAGTTTTATCAGTGAAATAAACATAGATGCAAGTTGCATTTTGTCTTAGTGCATTGTATTTTTGAGAGATATGCAAATTGCATTTTTTGCTTCATTAATTACTTTTCATATTTTAAATTATATCTGACATACTTTTGAACATAAAAAAACAATATTAAATAATGCTAATTATTAAAAATTTATCGCCAGTATATTATTTATTAATAAAATTAAGTGAAAATGGTATTCGCTATTCGTTATGTTTTTATGTGGTATTCGTTATTTTGTAACACTTTAATGCTAAATTTTATGCACATTATAATAGTAATATTTTTTAAAATATTTATTACAAATTTCGAACATATACTTTTTTAAATGCTAAAAAAAACACTATAATAATTATTAATGTAATATTTAGGTTGTGCAAAATTCCGACGATTTATTCGACCGAGATGAATTGTCAGCCGCATCTGATATTGGTTGGCCAGATTGCTTCAATTCTGGAGTCTTCGTCTTCAAACCATCGGAAGAAACTTATATCAATATGTTGCATTTTGCAATAGAACATGGCTCTTTTGATGGCATGCAAATTTTTTATATACTTCTACTATAATAAATTCTGATTTTACATATATTTGAATTAGATCAATTAAACTTACTTTCTGACTGGAATTAATATATGAATATATTATGCTTGATTTGATTTGTTTATGCTAAATATTACTAATTAGTACATATCTCGTCGATCAGTCGTAAGATGTTAAAATTTCTATTCATTGAAATGAATTAATTAAATTAAGTTATTAAGTCACTTAACCCACAAATTAATTGTACTTTTAAGATTATTTTTTTTGAACTTCTTTTTTAATATTTTAAATAATTGCAGGAGTAAAAAATGAGTTAAATTTGTTATTAAATAGTTTATGTTTTTTATTATTTTGAATATTTTTGAAAAAATCACTTCAAGTACTTTAATTTCTTGTATTTTATTTCACTGATTTAGATAGAGTTAGGTTAGTATATCAAATCATTTGTAAGATGAATTTCATACTGATTAAAATATGATCAGTAATACTTTTTGCGCAGTCATATTTTTGAATATACAAATTAAGCCTTTGATTTCAGTAATTTATAGTAATATTTTGTATAATACATTGATCACAAATTTTGATTATACATAAAAAACCACTTTAAAAATGATATTATTATTATTTTTTTGAAAAATTTTCTGGACTAATTTAAATTGCTTTGATCTTATTTAATTTTGAATTTTATTTTCGGAACAATTTCAAATTATTCATGCAAAGCTAGCATATTATTTCTTGCTCACATTTTAATAAATTAATATTTGAATTAATTATGAGTATTTTTATAGGTGGTGATCAGGGCTTATTAAATGATTACTTCCAAGATTGGCGTGATAAACCTTCATCGTTTCGACTACCATTCATTTACAACATGACTGCAGGAGCAATTTATTCATATGCAGCTGCATATAAAAAGTATGCATCACAGGTAATTCAGGTTTTGCTAATTTTTTAAATATCTGTATAAATTTTCAAAATTATAAAATTTGAACAGAAAAAAAGAGAGCAAAATTAAAATATAAAAGTGTGTTAGCAAAAAAGTTTGAGATTTAGAAGTTAATAAATAATTTTGAAAGTTTAATTTAAAAGATATAGCTCCAGTGCTAACGCATAAATCTCATATTTGTTTTAACATTATTATTTTATACTATTCAAAGTAAAATTGTTGCGATATTTATATTTAAAATTAAAATTTACCAAGTTTAATAATTTGAATTTGTTACTAAATATAATATCGCAAGTATGAATTCATATTGCAACAAGTTCCAGGCTTTAAATACATGCAAATCAAAGATTTCTGAATTTAGTTGCATTCGGAATTTTAATTTATCGAATTTGCTTTTCACTCTAATGGAAATTTAGCAATTTTTAAGTGCTGTCTTGGAAAATAATTATTAAGTTCGTATCGTAAATTTCTGAATCTTATTTTTTGATATACAATTTAAAAAATGGGAAACTATAATTTTAAGATCAGAGTGGTACACTTTTTGGGCGCAGTAAAACCATGGCATCAATTATCAGATGATGTGCATCCATCCGAACATCTCAACTATTGGTGGTCATTATATAAAAGTCAAATTGCGCCAAAACTTGGAATATCACATGTGAGTAGACGTCATTTGGGGTGTGATTTAATAATCTTCACAACATCAAGTATTGAATTGATGAGCAAAATTCACAACTCTCACTTCGCATACTGTCTAGGAAGTCAGTAATGTTACGTATAGAGGAAACAATATGCCACAAATACCATCACGTGATGGTCCATCTTGCATGCCAATTTACCATTGTGTTCCACCAACTTACAGCGCATGGAATCCAGCACATCATTTATCTGCTTACTTTGTCAATCAGATGGCTGCTACTACAGTTGTGAGTGCACCCGCGCTTCTACACGCCAAATTAAGCATTTAGTTCACTTTACGCATAAACAAATTTTTCTTTTTTTTTTGATTGAAATATGAAGCTTTTATGTCTAATTTATTAAAATGTATTCTTTTATAAGTTATAATCAGCATTCAGTTTCACCAGCAAAGTGTGTGAATATTTTTTGCACCTCACAGCATGATTCTTTTTAGCACTTGAATCTTTGTGATAAGAGGTTTCTGAAGTTTATATTTGCAAACATTGAGTTCACTTTTTCTAGGAATTATGGCGATTATAAGTGCTAAGACTTTGAAGCTATTAAGGTCAAAGTTGATTGACAAATTAAGCTGGTATTAAAATATTTTATTCAACTATAAGAAAGAATTTTAGTCCTATTTATTTATTTGTAAGCTTAGACGTTCCAAAGTAGCCATGAAATCAACCTTTCACCTTCACATTAACCTCTAACCATAACACTGAAGCACTACTTTGCCACACGTAATTACAGATTTTTCTTATTCTACAAATTATTAGCAAATTTTAACAATTTCCTTAAATTATTGGTATTATTATTTCGGTAGAAAATTAACAATTTTTGAAAGTAACAGAATCTTTAATAAAAAATTACTAATTAATTTTGACAGTAAACGAAATTTCAAAAATTACTTGGTTTGATGAATGTTTACATTAACTTTTGTGCATTTTTCATTAATAATTTTGAATTTAAATTGAAACATAAATATTTTAAAAACAAATGATCGTTATGATAGTGTAAATTAAATCAAATAACATATTAAATAACAGACTAGTCCTTGATCAGTTTTCGTTCTATTTACCAATAATAATATTAACTATTATTAAGGGTCCAGTGGTGCGAGTACCAGCTAGTGTTGAGGTTGGCTTTCTTCACCTTATCTAGTCTTATTTTTTAGATTAGTACTAAACTTGTCATTAAGTTCTTAAAAATTAATATTTACAACGAGTAATGATGTGACATTCAAATTTTGCAATAATAATAATTTTTTAATAATAATAAATAAAAATGTGGATGTCAGTTTTAAAAATAATAATTTGTTATTTTTTAATAATTTGATGATAACAAATTAATCTATTTGATTCTAACATGTATATTTTCAGGTGTAATCAAAATATGTCATGCAAGATCTATTTAAAAAATAATTCTATATTGTAGTTTGAAAAAGTAATGGATGCACTTTTGTGTTTGCAAAAAAATTTATTTATATAATTTTTTGAAATTTCAAAAAAGTTATCAAGTTAGATAAAACTTTGGAAAGCATTAATAAGTAAAGTTTTTATTTATTTTTAGAGAAATAAATTATCAAAATTTTGTTTTAAAAGCAAAATAATATTCTTTTGTTTTAATTAATTTTATTCAGAACAATTATCAAATATCATTAATAAAATTAAGAAGACAAATAATAATTCAATTGTTTATCTCTATAAAAAATTTCAAATTCATAATTTTAGAAAATTAAATAAACAAAAAAATATGTTCAAAGTTTTGAATTGTTCGAATAATTTACATTTATTGAATGATTTTGTGCTTAAGAAATTGAATTTAATTTTAATTATATATTTAATAAATTTGTATTTTCTTGCCTTGAGTTTTAGTTTACCTTCACTTTTTATGCCAAAATGTTGTTGAAAATTCTTAAATAAATTAAAATAAACTCTATAGAAAGTAATAATCAATTTTTTAAAGTTAACTGACTTGGGACCTGAAAGTAAACAAGGATTACCTCAGACGGATGAAGAACGTATGCGATCGTGGGAAGTAGGAAATCCTGATTATCTGGGAGCTGATGCCTTCGAGAATATTCAAAAAGCAATCAATAAATCACTAAAGTAATTGTCATTACAATTTTTTATATCTAATTTAAAACTCGCTTGAGGCATACAAAAAATTTCCAGTTATAAGATAAAATTTGAAAAAATTTCATTTCCATGAAGAAAGTGTTTGAAAATACTTTTAATTTTTATCATCAAAACTTGTCGGATTTAAATTTTTCTGTTATAAAATTAAGGGAATTTAAATTTCGAATCAGTTATAGCCAATTAGTAAACTACTTTAAACAAACTGAAATCGTTTATATTCCATCAACTTTTCATTATTGTAATAAAAATTAAATTTTTGATATTAATGCTATAATTTTTTACAGCCTTCCAAAAACTTAATTCTGATCCGGTCAATTGATTCTGTCTTCATTTTTGATCTGTGTCAATTTTTGATCAATTTATGGGCGAGAGCCAGAAGAAGATTTTACGACAGCAATACATTTTAAATGTTTTTTTTCTAAAAACAATTATTCAAATTAATAATCTGAGTTTGTAAATTTTTTCTACTATTTAAAATTGTCAGCTCAAAGAATAATTTAATAAAATCACTCTCAATTTTCGTATTTTTATTACATTAAACATATCATCATTTATTAGAAATTGAAAACTCGAACTTAAATTTTCCTAACTTTCAACCTTGTTTTGATTCATTCTCTATAGCTCCAAGCTTCTTACGTATATAATGACGATGTAAATCAGAACAATATTATCACATAATTATGAAGGATTTGCAACCCTAATTTGCCACCCAAAGTTGTACCATAACATTGCAGTACTACCGATATTTTCTCACTCAATTATGGTTTTAACTTGGAAATTATTACAGGTGGTATTAGTCCCAAACTACAAGACTATACTTTTGTAAAGATATGCAATTAATAAAAAATGTAACATTTATTTTGATTACTGCAGAAAATTTTTAATGAAAAAATTATGTTGAATTTCAACTTATTAAAATTTTTTTTACTCAGTACTTCAAGATTGTGTTGGTATTAATAAAAAGGTTAATGAAACATTATCACAGTATTAAAATCAAAAAAGTGTTTAAAGTTTGGATTTAAAAGTAAATTTAGAACTGAAAAGTATAGACTTAAAGATATAGTTTTAAGGAAGTATAATATATATATTTCGAATAAAAATTTATTAGATTTGTTCAATAACCGGCTAGCAAATAAACCAAAAAATGAAGCATCAAACGATAAATATAAAAATTTTTTGATACTTTTAATAGAGTGAAATAAAAATAAGCAGGTAGAACTTCTGCGCCAAAAATATGAAGTTTTTTCATTTTACATCAAAAATAATTCAATTAAACTAAGCATTTTGTTGCCTTTTAAAGCAATTATCATTTTATTTTGTAGAAATAAGAATAAATATTTTAAACTCAAAATTTTCTTGTTTTAAATTAAAATAAAACTCAAGTTTATGAACACGTATTAAATGTGAAACTGATTTACTCCCTTACGTATACATATTCAAATTTATTTTTTGCATCAGTCTTACAAAGTAACAAATGTTTAAAAAACTTATTACGTTAAATTGTATTTAAAAATCTCTTTTTAGACTATCTTTTTTAGGAAAAATTCAATTTATTTCTGTGTGTGGCAAAATCGCAGAATAGATTAAACTGTAAATAAGTTTTAAATACAATCAAATTGAAATTTTCGATATGATTTTTTAAATTGAAAATTTGCTTTTCTAAAATAAGAACATTTATCATTTGATCATTTACAATTGTTTGTTCAAATCTGATAATAAATATCAAATTTATAAAAATATATTATAATTAATAATTATTGAAAATGAAGAATATCAAATCCTTTCCATAATTTTCATAGTAATTAATAATTTAATCCAAAAATACATTACAAATTAAGAAATAATCCTTTTGACAACACAATAAGAACATTACAAATAATTTATTACTTTAAAAGTTATAAATCAAATAAAGTTGTTAGTTAACAATACTTTATATAAGTGTAATACTTGACATATATATAATGTAACAACACGTGAACATTTTTTTCACGCCAAGCCTTTCAAAAAACAGTTTTACTAAATTTCTGCGCAATTATTTTGCTTGAATTTTTTTTTCAATTTAAATAATTAAAAAGTGAAGCAAACAATGCAAAAAAATGTTCACAATAATAAAAGTAATAACTTATACAAATTTAAATTTGAACTTTCAAAATATGAGAAAATATCATTTTGTACGCCGAAAGCTTCAAAAAATACAACAGCAGTCACAACAACTTTTCTTTTTCTTACTTTTTCTTAGTGGTTTTTGACCTGTGAAAGGTCATTCAAATTATGTATTTCATTTTGTACATGGAAAGTATGAAAATTTTAGGATTCTGCTCAAGTATAATTTTGCAGTCAGAGTTATTTGAAATACAATGTCCCTAGTACTATATTTGCTAGAATTCAAATAAAATTACATGCAATAATAGTGATTACAAAGGTCATTAGGTTAAAATATATTAACATATTGTGTTAGAAATAAATAAAACTTATAGAGTTATGATTTGTTCATTTTGATTAGTATGACAAATATTGAATTTAATTAATTTTAGTAAAATGCGCGGATCAAAAAGTTCCTCACTGCGCACTACTGATTTTGCACAGTATTTGGTTTGTTAAATCATTAAATTTTGACTCATTCCACGAAATTAAAAGTTCGCCAATAATATTTTTCAATTTTTGTAAATTATTTCGTCTATTTTAGTGGCAGTTTTTCAATTTATGCTTATCATTCAATCATTTTTTGACGTATTCAAAAGCAAATCAAAAAATTCATTAAATTATAATTACAAATTAAAAACTAGTTCTAAAACGGGAAGGATTAAAACCCAAACATTTTAAATGGAAATAAAATAGTTAAATTTGTTTGCCAAAACTTTTCTATTAAATTCGTTACAAATAATTCAATTTAATTTAATATTAAGCGCAAAAAACTTACTAATATTTTTATGTTTCCTCAAAAATTTTTAACAGTAAAAGTTACATAAATATCAATAACAATAGAATATGAAATATTATACCAATAAATTGTAAGTTACCTAAAATACCAAATTTTATATCATTAAATTAGAAATTTCCTAAAATACCAAATTTTATATCAATAAATTGTAAATTACCTGTTTGTTGATGCACTAGATATCGTGAAGGTAACACTTGAGGTTTTGGTGTTACTTTGTTTTGCACCGAAGGAGACCGCTTTTGATCAATTGTACTCTTTTTTTGGTCATGTTCAAATTCATTTAAGGTAACATTTGTAGTGGTAGTTGCTTGTGATTGATCTAAAAATTTTTCATGTCATCAAAAAATTCAAATGTATTTGCTAATATTAAGGTGAAAAAAAAATAGCAAAAGCAAAATTAATGCTTAAAAAGTATGCAAATTTTCGTTTTGAAATTTGAGTAATAAATTTGAAAAATTAAATTTTGAAAAATTATTTCTGATACCTAATTCCTTAGATAATGATGATGGTGCTTTAAAATCTGTAATAGTTTGATCTGGATCACCGTGCACTGTAGCATCACTTTGTTCCATCAATGAATTTATATTTGGCTTTAAAAGAATTAAATTCTCACACTTTAACTTATAGATGAAATGAAAATTCTTGTAAGCAGTTTTTTCAAATCAAATTTGAATTATAAAGTCAGATAATTTAAAATTTTTTTCATTACATAGTTAAGTTTTTAATAATTTGATCTATTTTAAATTTATCAAAAACTTTTATGAATAAAAATATTTAAAAATTATTTTTGCTTACTTTGTTTGTACTTCGTGAACTTCTGAAATAAAAAAATAAATGAAAGTATTTTGATGATTTTTTTTTAACTGAAAAGTCGTTGGAAAGTTGTCAAAAGATTTAATTGAATTATTAAATTACAAAAATTTTTGTAATTAAAAACGAAATAATAAATTTACTCTGAAATGACAATATCATCGTAGCCTTTTTTCTGTTGAACAGTTGATGTTTTTGTCGCAGCTTCCTGTCTAGCAAATTCTTCAATATCCATTAATCTGCCCGAACTAAGCCTATGAAATTTGACTTCTTCACAATCAAAGTGAAAAAACAATTTTGACTTTTATAAAATTAAATTTTCAAATAAAATAATTTTTTTCGAAACTCACAAAATTAAATTTTAGCTGCAACTTTTACTTACTCAAAAATTTTGACTTATAATTTTTGAAATTAATAAAATTAAAAATTCAATACCAATTTCTCGGGGAATCATTACTATGCCACTTTGAAAAATTATCTTAATTTTAGTTTAATTTTGTGAATAGAAAAAAGAGTTCAGCGAAATTCTCAATTTGTATTTATAGCGTTTTATTATTGTCAGTTTTGACGTAACTTAATAATAAATAGAAATTATATTCCAATTTTTATTTATAATTCTATATGTAAAATCATGTAAAGATTTTATTTAATAATCAAATAACTAATTAACAAAATTTTGAATACTTTCAAGAAAAAAAGATTTAAAAAATATTTTACTAATAAATTGATTGTAATACGAAATAATGTCTATTCTTGGGTTTTTACCGTATATATACCATCACATATTTGTACTTAATTTGCATTTTAAGTGCTGTATGCAAAAGTTCTTTGCTTGAATCGGGTTGACTTTTTATTGTAAACAAGTATTTCGATAAAATTAATCTTCAGAAACTTCAAATATGCAGTTTCAAGTAATGTATTTCAAATTACGATTTGGTATGAAAAGCTATTTAAGAAAGCATATTTAAACATCATTTATCTGGATTCAACATTGCTAGATTATCCTAAAATTACCAATATATGATGGATAAACTTGTGGTATTGGTACTACAATAGCCCACAAATTATACTTTTACCTTCTTTTCAGTGATTAAAATTATCGGTTATTGATTGATACTAGCAATTAGGAATATTATTAATATCTTCAGCTGATGAAGAAATACATTATCATCACTGATCAGAAATATCATTATTACTGACTGAAATTATCAGCTGATAATCAATAAATATTGGAAATACTCATAATTCCCATTCACAAATTACATTCTCATCAAATATTAAGTATTTAAGTTCAAATATAAAAATTCCCATTTTCTAGTTTTAATTTGCCTAATTTGTAATAAAAACTTTTTGCTATTCAATTTTCAAAAGGTCAATGGCATTAGTGAGAAATGAGGTTATTTATAAAAAGAAATTTGTATATTTCAAGTACTTTTCTCTACGCTAGCATTAATACAATGACGTGAGAACACTTTTATCAAAATTTCTGCTAAAAAAAATTTTATTTTATTTGAAAAAAATGACACAATTTATAAATATATTCACAGCAAATTCTAATAATAATTAAAATATTTTGCAAAGGAAAAAGAGATCAACTTCGCTTGCTGTCATTCTGAATCGAACGAATGAAATTCTGAAATGACCCACGCCAGAAGGAATTAGAATGCCACATTGAAAAACGCTAAAAAGGGCACAAAGTTTTTTAAAACTAAAATTGAATAATAAAACAATTGTTAACAAGACCTTTTTTTGACCTTTTATCACACGGAAAAAAACTAAACACACGCAAAACCTTTTTTTGACCTTTTATTACATGAAATAAAAAACTAAGTACATAGAAAAGTGCGAGAATATTTATTACTTACCTTTAAACGTTTTACAGCTTTTGATTTTAAAGTTCATGACCTGAATACTAAGAAATATTGTGAGGCATACATTAATACTGAAAATTATTAAAGGTCAACTACGATAAATTTATGATTTGATAAAATGAATGAGAGTATTACAAGTTTTTCTTTTTCTAGCCAATTTACGAATACAAACTATTTGTACTCACAATTTTACCAATAAAATACCACAGAGTATCATTTTTTGACAACTAATTACATTTCAATTCATAGTAACATTACATTGAAGTTAATCAATTATGACCTATCTTTCACTTTTAAGTGATAATATACGGAAAAATTTGAGTACGAGCAAATAAAACAAACATTTTAAACAAACAAATATTAGGTCAATACGTGGTTATAGATTGAAGTTAATACATACGCACATACGTACGTGTGTGGGCGTGATTTATTAGTGTACTTCGAAAATGTACAAAATGCGAAGAAATGTGTAGTAGTGACCTGAGCAAGGTTACAACCGCTCTATGATAGTTGTTGGCATGGTATACGGCAGTGATTACCTGTTGTGTGACCCGAACATTTTACCTCAGCTTTACACTCTTTCTATCTCTGCTTTCTCTCTTCATAGTATTTTCTTTTATTTGACCAATTGTGTATTGATAGTAAGCAAAGGTGCGCAAAACGCATGCGTTGTACTACACGTATCATCCGTTAATGCTATTTTTATCTTTACTCTTATTTTTTCAGGTATATTTAAGTTTTCTCAAATAATCTATGTTATGTTTATTGACAATCTAAGGAAACTGTTACGTGTTACAAGCGTGATTGACGTTGTTTATTCATGCAGATTCGTTACGAAAAATATGAATAACAGCACTACTTTTTGGCTAAATTTTTATTTTTTTTGTGACATTCACAGCACTTGACATGATTGTAGTAAATGATTTCAACACAATTTTATCACATTCTGATATTGCAATTTTTATAAAATAATTTGCAAAAAGAAATTTGATTTCTTTGAAAAAATTTTTGCGTTAATTTCCAATGTATAAATTTTTTAAATAATAATATAATTTGTAAATAATATAAGTTGACGTAATCTATTTGCGTGTGTGATTGTTTTTCAGTTATTATTAAAGAAAATCATAAATAATCGATCAATAATAAAAGAAGTAAAATGAATTAGTTTTTCTGAAATATAATAGTATTATTTTGCAGTAAAAGTTTGAAAAGTGAATCATAACCAGTATTAAGTAGAATACGCAAGCTGACATGCAGGCGGAGCGGCCGTCATTCACCCAAACATGGCCATATCAAGAAATGCGCGACTTATTTGTGATTACAATGCGGTTGCAGTACGGGTTGCTAATTCTTGATTCACTTCTATGCTTCTTTATTGGATCGATACTATTTTTCATGCCAGCATACGTCGCTAATTTCATTTTTGTTAGTTTCATTTATTTAAATTTGTGTAATTTTATTAAAATTAAAATTCCAATTCACCTAACAACTTGTTAATTAATTTAATTTAATTTAATTTAATAAATTATTTTGAAATATGCAACATTAATAATAAATGTTATTTTAAAAATATAAAATTACTTTTGAAGGTCAGAATATTAAAATTATCCTATTGATACTTTGTTTTTTCTTTTAACTTTTGTTTCAGTTTAAAATTAAGATATTAAAACTTAACCATTATTTGCACTTAAAAACAGAGTCTTCTTTTTGTAAATATTAGTTTAGTGTAATGCGCAAAGGTCAGTTTATAATATTAACTATGTCCAAAGGTCAGTTTGTAATATTAACTAATTATTATGAGAGTTATTAAACTTTTTTGTTAAGACTTTTTCAGTTCTAATTGCTCACTTCTTTGTTTTATTATTCTTTACGTTGTTTATTTACTGCCGTTTGTTTGTTTGCCCGTGCGTGTTTCTGTGTGAGTGTATGTGTGATTGTATGCGTGTGCATGTGTGAATCTTTTCATATTTGTCTGTGTGTTTATGTGTTTAATTGTGTGTACGTTTATGAGTGTACAAAAGTTCTTATATGTTCATGTATTTGCATAAAAATAGCATTGCACCTGTATAAGATTTCTATTTTTAAGAATTCACTATATTGATATTTCACCAGATAAGGTCAAACGTCAAATATGCAAATTTGTATAATTTATTTTGTTTTAGCTTCGAAAAACAGACGGTGTTCATTGGCATTTATTGAGATGTATTGGTGGACAAAATATCTCCGCTTCAGTTATTATGTATCGACTAAGGAAATCCGCCTTGGAAACCGTCTCATCTTGCTATATCATTCGATTCTTGGTCAAATTTAGTAATGGTTGTTTGTATAGGTCAAAGGTTACTTTGACCAATATTAAAAGTCATTAATCAAAAATTGCATTTGATATAAGTTATCAAAGCTTATTTGGCAAAAAAGAGCAATTTATTATAAATGATGTTTGTAATTATGCAAAAATCTTGTAAATTGCTAAAACTAATTGAACCAGGGGAATTGATTAGACAAAAAATTTTTTCTATGTAATTTTCAAAATATTCAAATATTCTATGGTGTCATTAATTATTTGAAAATTAATTATGCTTACTTTAGGGATTGTCATTGACATTACTCATTTTGTATCATTGTGAAGCAGCAACACCTAATTTAATCCATGCCGAAGTATACTTAATTTTATTTTTGCTATTATTAACTTTAAATTTCTACTAAATTTAACAATGAATCATACATAGCCTATTTCTAAGAATAATCTGGTAGGTGCGCAATTTTTGCCCAAAAATGATAAAATCTAGATTTGCCTTAGTTAATGGCTATTTTTTATTCTTATCTTAGATATTATCATAGTTTACTTGCTTTATAAATGTAACTTAACAGAAAATTTTTAAGATTTTAATCTTTACATCAGCCATTAATTTTTTTTAGAATTACTAAATTAATTAAAAGTAATCAGCATTTTTAATTATTTTTTTCAAAACTTGTCTACAGTACTCCAATTAATGAAAAGTTATATTAGTTTATTGCAGTATTTGAAAATAGCCAAGTTTTGGGTGCTTACTTGGATAACGGTGAATTTATGTCTTGAAACATTCCAAAAATGGAAGTTGGGGAAAATATTTGCAAATGAATGTATTGCTGAAAATATTCTGTATCAAACTGATAGTATCGCAGCTATTGTAATCGGTGCTGCTTGGCTTGCATTCCCAAAATGGTTACTACATCGACAGGTACAGTAATTTTGTGGTATTTTTAAAATATTGTTTGAAGTATTTGGCAGAATTCGTCAAAGTACCGTGAAAGTAACTATACAATGAAGCATATTTTTAACTACCGTAAGCTAATTGACTGACAATATGATTATTAAATCGAAACTTTCAATATTTTGTATAGCATTAATTTTCATTATTATTCATAATTATTATTTGACTATAATTTTTTCCACGTTTATCTTTACAAAATTTCATATACAATAGCGTTAATTTTTATAACCAATTGTGTAAATAAACTGTTGATATATTATTACATTGCTAGCCACGTATATCTTTATCGTAAACAGAATGACCATTACTTATTACTGTAAAAAATCCTTTAAAAATATGAGGTATGCAATTTTAAAGGTAAAAGTACCACTGGATGAATCGCATGAACTCTGTGCTCGAATTATGGGTGCTTTTTTTACATCATCTTGCGTGATTGGTTCACATGTTTTGTACTGGAAAGAACTGAAAGATCGTTTAATTGGCGTTGATGCACGTGCTTGTGTACGTCTAAAATTGAAACATTACTGCGTTGATTATTTAGAGCGTTATAAAAAGACTGTAAATTGAGTTAAAAATTACATTAAAAATTAAATAAAGTTAGAAAATATGAATTTTAAAAAACTTTTGAACATTGTATAATTTACGCGTGTTTCAAATTACGTTTACTAAAAAACAGCTAGGATTTTAAAAGTTTTAAAAAAGTTTTAAAATGTTAGGCATACTTGTAACAATTTTAAATGTATAAAAAAATAGTAACTGTGTTTTAAACTTAGATGATAATAATATTGTTGATTATTAAAAATTAAAGAAATTATAGATTTGTACATTAACGCTTGTGGCACAAATATGGTCGCAGTATGCATACTGGAGAGACTGGAATGAAAGTCATTGGATTGGCATATCGTTGATTTCAACCTGGATGATAATTTGTGTAGTCGTTAGATTTTATTTAACAGTACGAATGAAACGATCACAAAATATAAAAAAATTATCTTGATCTGATCAACAGAGCCTTATTTTTTTGTATGTTACTTGTTTTGTGTCTATTTTTTGTTTATAAATAGTAACTGTGTTTTAAACTTGAATAATAATATTGTATTTGTGCATATTGATACTACTAAACAGCAAAATTGAACCAGTCATTTTAATAAGTTGTCTTCTCGTTGAACTTTGACATTTTCATGATATTAATAATGGCATGAATTATTTTGGAGAACATAAAAATGAGTATAAGTGATTTTCAGATTTTACATGACTTTTGTTTGCAGTTGTGATCGTACTTGCGCAGTAATGTTGTAGTTTGATGAAAAATTAAAATGAATAAAACTTTCATGCTCGTTTTGCTCTTTACATTATGCAAATTTCTACTCACTCTTATAAAAATGTGTAAATTTTTTAAATGTGTTATTATTGAAAAATTACTCTAATGGGAAAAGAAGATTTAGAAAAAGTTAGATTGAAAGTTGGGACTATTGTCAAATTCCAGTGGGAGGTACTTCTCGACCTTTTAAGGACAGCTTTTCACGCTTTAGATTTACACGTAAATATTATTATAAGACGCTAATTAAATATAGTAGTAATATGCTAATGTATAATTATTAACAATGTTTTCCGTAACCCATTGCAACTATCAAGCATCATATCAGTCGTAATATTAGCGCTTTCATTATCAGATTTTGATAACATTAGTTTTGTGATTTAGCCATTTGATCACTGTGATGTATCTTACCAGTTCTATTATAAGGTTTATGATTAATACCATCATTACTACTGTTATTGCAGTTTTAATTTATTATTATTATTATTATTATTATTATTATTATTATTATTATTATTTATTAGTGTTATTATTATCCATGTTATTTTTATAATTATAATAATTTAATAATTTATGATCATATTTGTCATAGCAGCATCTTTTGTTGGAGCGTGGAATTATGTAGCAGTGACCAGTTAACTAAAATAATATTTTATGCATAAAATATTCAACTGAATTAAGTGTTCAGAATATGCGCTTTTCTATTTTATGATTATTTTCATGACATTAAGATTATTTATCATTTAATCAATGTCATTATTATTAATATGATTATATTCATTCATATTACTAGATACATCAAATAAAGAGTGAGTGGCACATTTTCTATTAAAATATTGTGCAAGAGATAATTACTTTTTTATAAGTTATATTTGTTATCAAAAAATTGAATATGAAATTAGGCGTTGCAAATAATAATGCAATTATAATAAGGTATTACAGGTATTAAGAAGAATAGGTGAAGGTGGCTGTGGTTTAGTTTTTCAAGTAATAAATATGAAAAAACCTGGACATTTTGCTGCAATGAAAATAGAACCGATTGGAATGATTAGCGATGATCAAATACTAAAAATGGAAGTGCATGTTTTAAAAAAATTAAACAAATCTAAACATGCTTGTAAGCTATATGCAGCTGGCAAGGTAATTTGCATTTTAATTACAGTAATTGGTACACTTTTAAAATGATTTTGCGTTAAATAAAACAATTTTCATAGTACTAATATTGACCATTATATTGACCGCATTTGACCATTAGAATTGTAGTCGCATATTTATTATGGATTATGACAAGAAGAGTAGTAACACTAATGATGCACAACAATAATCAGAGCATTAATAATGGTCGTAATTAAAATTGCAGTAGCTGGACAGCACAACAATTTATTTGATTCAATAGTAATATAATTTTAGTAACACTTCAATCAGTACTTAAATAAATTTGTTATAAGTATAAACAGCAGAACAGTGAATTTATTGAAAGTTTGTAAACCTTTTTTTAGGGTACCAATTACTATTTTTTAGTTATGACCTTATTGGCAAAGTCATTGTGTGAATTAAGAAAGCACTGTCCAAATCAGGTTTGTATATTGTAAATTATTGGATACATTTATTAAATGCAATGTAATTGCTTCAATAATAGTAAAATAATTTTTAATAATAATAAAATAATTTCGAATTAAGTTTAATTTTACATTTAAACTTTCTTACTTATTAATACTTTTGAGTTGAACTTGTAAGGAAAGTTATAATTCAATTTCTACTGAAATCCCACAAAAACATTGTTTACGCTAGCGTTTCACATTGTCTACATCAATAAGATTATGCATGCAATGCTTGGAAGGAATAGAAGATTTGCATAATATCGGATTTATTCATCGAGATGTAAAACCATCAAATTTCGCGATGGGACGTAAGCCAACAACAATGCGCACAGTATTCATGCTTGACTTTGGTCTTGCTAGGCAATACTGTGTGAGGAGTTTATAGTCTAACCATTTTTTAAATGCAATATACAAGTTACAAAAAACTTGAATGCCATTATTTCATATTTAAGTACAATTATCAATATGTACAATTATGGGCATTCAATGCTATTAAATATTACGTTATAATTATAAGGTAAGGTCATAACTAAAATTATCCCTTTAAAAGTATTCCATTTTTTTGAACTAAATTATAGCTTAAAAAATTATTATGCATGTTGTTATACTGAAAAAAATATTTGATATAGACAGGGCGCTAATATCGGTAAATACCGTATTATAACAATTAAACGCAATATTTGACCTGACATAGCACTTATGCTCAATTGTGGAAAGTAAATAAAATACTTACAGCCCATTTTTAGATGAAGCATACTGTACATCTAATAAGTGATCACTTTACTTGAATTACTGCTAGATGTTATGAGTTAAAATTTGCATGAATCCTTTCCAGTGGTGCATTTTTCGAATAATTTTTGAGTACTTATCCAGTTTTATCTCAAATATTCTAGGAATTTGACAAAAAAGGTGAAGCTAAATTGCGTGAACCACGTAAAATGGTACCCTTTCGAGGTACTATTCGGTATTGCTCGGTAAATGTTCATCGTCGAGATGAACAAGGACGCCATGATGACTTATGGTCACTTTTGTATATGACGGTAGAAATGATACTTGGCACATTGCCCTGGTGTGGACACTGATTAACTTTTAATTATGCAAATTTTGTTCTTTTTTTTACTCAAATTATTGATGATTTTGAATAATTTATTGAAAATTATGATGATAATCCTTAATAACGAATATAAAATTAAACACCAACACACTAATTACAAAATTAATTATTAATTGATAATATTAACAAAAATAAATAATTACTGTGTTGCTCCTGTCATTAAAATTGCTCAACTATACATGAATTGATTACAGTTATATTAACATGAATAATAATAATAATAATAAGCAATATTTGAGGAGTAATATGAATCGCGCACGCGCTGAACTTTGTAAACAAAGTTCGGAGAAGACACTCGTTTCCAGTTTGCCTATAGAGTTTCATCTTTTTCTCAAGCATCTCAAGAAATTAAATTATAACCATAAACCAGGTATTGTGATTAATAATTTATAATTGCTATGATCAAAACTGGTTTATGCATTTTGCAGAATATTGAAAACATTTCAAAAGTCAACAATGATTCAAGAATATAAAGTAATAAAATAAATTCACATAAATATAATTGAGAAACTTATAAAAAATAAATTTAATAATTTATACACACTAAATATAAAAGGAATAAATAATTAATGATCACTTTTGCAAATATAATTTATAATGATTACTTTACTAAATATGAATACAATTATATCTCATATAATTGTATTCATATTTCATATTTAACTTTATAATCTGAAATTATTTTTGATACATACTTTATACGATTGTTAAAAATTTATTGCAATTATCACTTTTTATCGTAGATTAGCAGTGATTATTAGTAATTTTTATCAAAAGTCAATGATGATAAGTTGTGGATTTTATGAAAAATGATTTCAGATTATAAAATGCTACAAAATTTGCTACTACAAGTATTAGTAAAAGATGAGCATACTTTAGCTGATCCTTTTGACTGGGAGGCAAATGGTGAACACGCTTCAAAATTCACGAGAAAGTTAGTTCTATGCTAATTTAATTTTTAAAAACTCAAACTTATGTACTAATTTCGGGAAAAAATTTTAGTTTGTAAGTTAATTTTTTATTTCAATTATATCTTATTTTTTTTGTCCTTGATATTTTAAGTATTGCTATACTTTTTAATATTTTAAGAACTGAAATTTTAAATTCAAATATTTTCACAATTTAGCTTTAATTTTTACAGTGCTGTAAAGTGTAAAAGGCGAAAAGCATCAGATGAAAAAATTGAATTTGAGAAAAATGATAAAGATGACATGAATACTCGAATGGGTATACAAACAATTGTAGATGAGGTCAAATTTTAATCATAAACTTATTAATTGATCATTTTAAAGTAGTAATAGGTCAAATCGATAATAAGTCAAACCCATCTCATGTATGGGATTTTGATCTTAGATTACTTCACATTCATATGTTTGATTAAATCGCTTAATTACTTTCTAGCTGGATATTTGTTATTTTTAATATGATGTGCAATATTTTTTCACGTAATAAGCTGATTATTTGGATAAAACTTTTTTGCGGCAATTAGTCTAATTTTATTTTCAACTTTTTCATTTTAAAAAATTACAAGTTAGACTGAAAGTAAACTTAAAAACCCTCAAAAATTGTTCAAATATTAAATTACTCTTGTATTTGTAATTATATTACTGAACATTTCCGTATTTTTTTGAATTGTAGTTAATCAAAAATGCAATTTCGATTAAGCATTTTTTAGTCGAAATCTTTTTTCACAGAATAACTTTTTTCTAACTTAAATTCTTTTCTTATAATTTCTTCAGAATATTTAAATTATAAAATACTGTTTTTAAATAGCACACAAACTTTGCTTTAATTTTTTTTTGAATAAAACGCAAGCAATAACTTTTATTCGAAGGTTTCGGTATTATTCATGTTAAATGATATTTTTTAGCATTAATTACAGTAATTTTAATCTTCAAAAGATTTGCTTAATTTTTTATTTAATATTTTTTTGATTTATATTTAAAGTAAAATTATTTTTTTTCACTTTTATTTTACATGAAAAGTAAAAGATTTCTCATATTATGACGACGTTGAAATTGTATACTTATTTTTCACTTTTTGCAACAGACAAAAATAAAAAATAGAAAAACATAATAATAATAATAAACAAATCTTATTTACTTCTTAGTTTATTTTTTTCGATTTCAGAACATTGAGTAGTATTTTTTGTATAGTTTTAAAATGCTATCATAATTTGTAACTAGTTACAGTAATGCTTGCGCAAGTTTTTAAACTTGACCTGACCTAAAATTATAGTATAGTAATAATTTTTAGATAAACTTAACGGTAATGTTTGAAGATGACGATGAAGGCCCAGCATCTCAGGTGAGCGGAGTCTCACGTAGCGATGACACGTTGAAGAAGTTGGAAGAACTCGGATAAGGCATGTTATGGTACTTCTTCAAACAATTAATTTTATTGCTTTTATTTTTATTTTTTGAATATTTAATTCAGTCTGATCCTTTGTGCTAGTGAATTTCAACAAAAATATGAATTTAAAGAATTTAAATTAAATTTTTTGTTTTAGTGATGAATTTTTTAAAACTTTAATTTATTTTTTGCGATTTCTTTTATAAAAAGTTTTAGATTTATCAAAAAAAAAAATAGTATTAAACAAAGGTAATTATTTTGAAGTTGCGGAAAATTTATACAAATTTAATGAAAACTAAAAAAGATTCAATTTGCGAATAGTATAATAAGTGAAATTATAATAATTAAACTTAATTAAATTATATGAATAAATATAAAATATTAGACAATATATTAAACTTAAGACTAGACTGTTTTGCAGTCAAGATTGAAATGAAATTGGTCTAGCGAGAAGTGAACAAAAAATGGAACTTATTTCATTTCTGTTGTTATTTGCAGTATTTCTTCGAGATCTCTCGAACTAACTGCCATTTTTCATCTCTCATCGCCTTTATTCATCTGTTGTTATCGTTATTTTGATGATTATTAATGTTATTTTTGAGAGTTTTGTTTTTAATGTAAAATTACTCATTACGATACTTGCGATGTGAAATAATATTTACTACTATCACTTATTACTCATTAGCACCGAATTAATTGGATAATCAGTTGCAGTTAAATAGTTAAATAATTGAGTGATAATAATAATTTGATATCATATTTAGATTCACAGTTTGAATTATGAATAATAATTTTGATAAGTTGAATAATTAGAATCGAAATTTCATTTAGATAAGAATGATCGATGAATTAAGTATTATTAAAGTATAAAATAATGAGGTCAAACAAATTCAGCATCAAAATTAACCATAGAATTATTATTTTTTGCTAGGATTTGAACTGCAGATTTTAAATATTCAGAACCAAAATTTTAATTAGATAACCATAATTAGTGAATTAGATGTTCGTATTATTTAAATCTTAACAAATTAAACAAAAACACTTATTTTTTCTTAAACTATTTATTTTGTACTCTTTCTAAAAAGTATTTTTATGTAGATAAGTAGTTTTGGTAACAGTTTATACTCAAATTTATTTTCATATTCTACTCTAAGTTAAATTCAGTACTGCTAGCAGTGATAAGTTAGATATTCAATGTATAGATTTTAATCACTAATCAATGATCTAATTCACTGATAGATTAGCATTAGCTGATCAAATGCTAGATAATAGCCCACTTGTAGAGACAGACGGATATCACAGAGCTGAGATAAAACTTCAACAACAGCTGTTGCTATTAGCTTCAGCAGCTACAAGGCAAGCTAAACGCTTACTAATTTTAGTTCATATTTCGAGACTTTGTTTCTCTCTCGTCACTTCTATTTCAATTATTTCCTTTGTATAAATGTAATAAACTGTACATGTTGCTTCTACTTTTTTCAAGTTTCTCACTTTTGTATACTTTGAAGAGTTTGTATTCGATTTGTTACAAAAATATGCTATTATTGTAATTGTTATTAAAATTAAACAGTAAAAGTCGTCCTTGAATACAGCATTTTTATTGTTTTCACATTCTGATTGCTAGAGAGATCCTTGCATTGACTAAAAAAATTATTATTATTATTTCGATAATTTGCATTAAATCAATAAGATATCATTAAATATCTGATCGTTTTAAGAAACTAATCGATAAATTCATGCAAGGAATCACTGGTGATTAGATCATGCATAAATGTGTAACTTGCTTTAGAATATGGATGAGAATCTAATGTAATAAATTGGTAAATTACTTTTGAACATTATAAAAATTACCCATTTAACATATTGTCATCCACTTAATTAATAAAATATTTAACTTATTCTTATGAAATTGCTAATAAAGTGTAATTCCCAAGTTTTTAATTACTTACAGATTTGTTTTTCACGTGAAAATAATACTGAGTTTCGTATGTATTTTTTTGATTGAGAATAGTATTAAATGTGTTTTTGTTTTTCCGTCTAAATTTTAAACACGAATGATTTGTTGTAAACGTGAAAACAAGCTAGCAAAAAGCAAAGCTTCATGCTTGTTTCCAATGGATAAATTACTTTCTAATTAATATTTACTTCACTGAAAATTTTAAATTGATAATAAATTAAGAAGTGTAATTATACTATATTCTTACTTAGACTCATGAATTGACTTCATATATGTACTTGTATTTCAGAATTGCTTCAAAACTAAATTATTCGAAAGACCAAAAGTTCTTTTAAGCTAAAATTGATTCAGAATTTGATATTATTTATTTTTCATTTGTAATTAAGAATCGTGGATATCACTTTTTTAGTTATCATCGAAATATTAATGCTTTTAAATTAAGTAAAAACTTTACTAAATAACTATTATCGAGAATAATATTAAATGATTTTATAGTTTAAAAAAGAAGCTTTTTTGCAATTTTAAAAGCATTTTGTGATTCAAAAAGCAGTATAGAGAATAGCTCTGAAATTTTGGAAGTAATTTTATTGCTTTAAAATTAGTTTTATGTTGTAAACTTATAATTATTTTCTGCTAAATTTTTCAAAAATCGAATAAAAACCAGAAAGGTGTATAATTTATAATAAAACAAGAAAATATGGAAAAAGAACAATTCGATTAATTGAAATTTGAAAAATATTTAACTGATAAGTAAATTCAAATTTTTGTGATGCAAATTTTAATTCTGGATTTTTATCAGAATATTTATGTTCTAAAAAGCCAAGCAAACTGAAGGAATCATTAAAAGTTATTACTAAAAGTTGTTTCAATTCAAATTCTTGACATATTTATGTTATTACTTAGCATATAATCACTCAAGTCGATAATATTTTAATAAAATTATTTAGTGTATTCAAATTCATTCCAATATATGAATCAAATATTAAATTGATTAAATATTTTGTATTGATTAGCATTTGATTTTTTGATTGTGAATTTTTAAATTTTTTGTTTACATTTTCTGAATAAGATTACTCATTGAAGTGCATACAAGCATAGAAAAACTTGAGTAAATAATAAAAAACGAGAAATTTATGAAGATTATTTGAGGTGAATTTGGAACAGCCAGCAGCTCTTAGCAGTGACTCTCGACACAGCAATTTTTCAAGCTGAATAAATTAGTCGATTATAGCAGCATTTATTATGCTTACTTTCACCCTCATATCTTGGAATAACTAGTTATACCAGTTATTCTAAGATAAGCCTATTATCATGTAAAGTTTATACGTCAACTTTTTCATTATTAACATTAAGTTGTTTTATTTGCGTAATAAAGCGGATTGAATAATTATTAACTGCTAGTATTAAAAACTTATCAGTCAGTAATTCTTAATTTTTGCTGCTATGTTTTCTTACGCTTCAATTTACACCAAATTTTAAGTGAAAATATCGCAAACTTGAAATTATATTCTAATACTAACTTGCAATGCACAGACTTCCCTTTAATTTCAGTAAATATTAATTGGATACAAAAGTTTACAGTATTGCACAGTCCCATACTTTTTGACATGAAGATATGAAGAAAAACAGTATTATTTATATATTTTATTACTACGATATTATTTATTCATGCGTGTTACTTAATTTACATATAGCTCACATCTGTATACTAAATGATTATTTTTTTAAACATTTCCTTCTGATTATTGCATTTTTTCTCAAATGAAATTCATGAGAAATAAAAACGCTTCTATTCATGATAATTAATGGAAAAATTATTTCTATGATAATTGATTTCATTAATACTAACAGTGATAATTGATAATAACAGAGATAATTGTTGTCAATATTATGCAGATGATATTTGCAGCTGGCACTCAGGTGATATCCTTTCATCCGGCTTTTTCACGTCTAATTATTAAACTTTTTAATCGGTCTACATTTTTTTGAACCTATTATCTGTTTTTGCACAAATTTTAACCTTCACGATGTCTTGGGCAGATTTGGTCAACAATAATTTGGTTGGCTCTGGTAATGTTTCCAAAGCTGCTATATGTGGTTTCGATGGATCAGTATGGGGAAAATCTGATAATTTTATGGTAATCATTTATCCAAGTATTCCTTAAAAATTGGCAAAATTTAAATAATTTTCAGAGTCAAAAAATATTAGTTATACAGATATCAGACAGTTAAAGTTTTAGACGTATAATTTGCTGACTACAGAAAATTATTTTGTAACAGACTTGTGAAAAAGTTTCTGTCAACTTAGTAAAATAAAATAAAAATTAAAAAATCAATTTTAAATATTTATAACATAATGTTTAAAACCTGTAGAATACTTTTAAAAAGTGTTTTTAAAGTGTATACGAAAAATTAAAAGTTATAATTGGCTTTCAAATTTCATTGCATGTTTGGGAAAATAAAAATTAACTAAATTTTATTGTATGTACTCAAATTTTTTACAAAATTCTGTTAACTCATTTTTGATTAATTTTCTTACCATTCAACTTTTTATTACTTACTGTTTATTTTTTTACAAATTAAAAAAATAACTCGACAAGAATAACTTACAGAGCTAGCAGTTAATCACATATGATCAGATCAATATAGGAATTCCTTTTTGCAAAATATTGCAAAAAGATAAAGATTTTTATACTTTGATAAATCAATAATGATCCGAAAACTAGTTTAGAAAAGATTAAAGTCAGAAAAAATTTATTAATATTTGAACAGTCAATATGAAAGCAGATAATGATAATTTAACAGTTTAATGGTATAGAGAAAATTACTCGCATAGAAATTTCAACTTTCAACCAAAATAGTTTTTTATCGATAGCGACTTTAACAATAATAATACCATAGTTTCCGACTTAAATTTTATTTGGATAAAAAAAGTTATAAATATCAACTATAAAATTAGAACGAAGTTCATGCTTGGAATAATGGTAATGATAATAATAATAATGATAATAATATTAATAGTAATTTCGATAAAAAGATATCCAAATGCTGTAGAGGCTTCTTATACATTTTTGGATACTATTGTAAAAATGTTTCAACGGGTTTATAATGGTTAATATTTTGTTAAAATATACATTAAAATAAGAAGAATCTACAAACTAACAATTATATCAAAATCGCGAAATTAATTAAATTATTGACAAGTTAAGAACTAGAAAATGATTATTTAACTAATGCTAAGAAGAAAAGTTAAGCATAACCTTTTCATGAGTAATAATTTTCAGTTGGAAGCATCAGAAGCAGCAGCAGCAGGGAAGGGGTTTCAAAATAAAGATAATCTGCTAGGAACAGGCATGAAGTTTGAAGGAGAAAAATATTTTGTACTGCAAGCAGATGATGAACGAATTATCGGTAAAAAAGGATCATCTGGATTCTTTATCTATAAAACTGGAAAAGGTAATCTTATTGATTGTTTCATTTAATAAGTCAATCATCTAATCAGTCGAATAATCAATAACCAATTAATTAGTCAGCATCTTTGTGGTGTTGTACGCAAGCAATTCAGTAACACTTTACAAAATTGTGTATGAAAACTTCTATGTTAAGTTGTTTTAACAGAAGTGGTTCTGCATTCAAAAAATTATTTTCTTTCTTAAAAAATTGTTTACTGAGCTAAAATTTGATTATTACATAAAATTCCGGAATAATACTGATTTTAATTCACGCACATCTTTTTAGATCAGTCTAAAAATCAGCAATGATCACTTATCAATCAATTCAAAGCTTAAAATTGAAATGATCATTTTTTTACATTGTTTATGTTCCTAATTTAAGAAAAAGTAATTCATCATAATTTAGCTGTGATAATTTCAATATATGAAGGTGGTGTTCAACCTGAACAATGCAGCAAAACAACTGGAGCTTTGGCAGATTACTTTAAAAGCATAAATTACTAATATTCATTTCTAATATTTGCTTTAATCTTCTCTGTCTTTTTAATTTTCGGTCAGTATTTATTATTATTTTCTAGAGTTTATTACAACTAATTTATTTTAACTTTTTGTTTGATTCCAATCTTAGTAACATAAGTCTAAATGAAATCAATCAAATCAAAATCTGATTATTAAATAATTTTTATTTTTTAAGATTAGTCCGAAAAAAGACAATGAATGCTTAAATTGGCTTTTTGAAAGTATAATAAAAAGTGGAAGAAAAACATATAAGCTATATGAAATAATATAATGATTAATAACTAAAAAGCCTAATTTAAAACCCAATTTGTTGTAATGTATGTTTTGCCCTACACATTTCAGATTAGAGTGTCTTCAATCTATGCAGTGCAATCTATGCAGTTCAATCTATGCAAGAATTTTGCAAATCTCCTGATCAAAAATGGAATTGTCTCACAGAGAGATGTGCTGCCTTACTGAATATTCATTCATTCATATATGAACATTTTACTGATTGAAATATTTACATTTATTATAATTATTTATTTGAGGTATGAATTTTTTTCCATAAATAATACTTCAAAAAAGAAAGACAAACTTTTTAATGACAAAACTAAGTCGACGTGTTGAAAAAGCAATACTTCTTTTTAATAATGTTACAAACTGAACAATTATTTGTTTGAAAATTTTTCATATTTCATTCATGTAATTGTGATTGCAATAGCAGGCAGTGTCAGATTGCCAATAAAATGTTTTCAGTAAAATTTGGTTCGGAAGAAAATTTAAAAAAACAATAACAGTTGTTGTGATGGTTACTTAAACCACCAGAATACTTTAATAATTAGTTGACAAACAAAAAGAATTGCATAAATTACTATACGTATATCTATCTACACCTGAACACGTATAACACAAACGTACACTCACGTCCATGTGCTTACAAGGTGCCTAGCCACACATATGCATAGACGTCAGTGGATAAGCCGCACATTTGAACTCATAAATGAGTTGACTATGAACACGAGAAGCAGACATTACACACAGACACACAACATACACCTGCCACACAGATACGGCTAACGCCGCATACACCAGATGCTTGGCATATACCTACACTCATTTAGTCATTTACGAGTAGAGCTTGGACGTACTCATCGGGTTCAAATATCAACTTGAGCGTACAATTCCATCTCTTCTAAACACACACGGAAACATACTCTCAGGCACTGACATACTAACACAGTACGGTATGATAAGCAGCTCTGCTCAATGCCATATATTTCGACGCATTGAGAGTGATAAGCAAAAAAAATACAACCTTTAACTTCTTCACCTTAACATTTGAGCAACTTTTCACGGAAATCTCAAGTTTTCTCCATCTGCAGAAAACTAACGTATTGTTACCAAAACACTGAGTTTAATTTAATCAAAGGATAATTGATAACTGGAAATGTGTAAATGTATATCAAAAAACCTGTACCAACTGACTATAACATAACTGACCATGTGTGAAGTAATGAAACATTACAATTATCACCACAGAACTAAAAAATTCTACAGCCCTGGCTCTGACCACAATTGCACTCGTAACAATGTTGCCCCTTGCTGGACTCCAAAAAATTGCACACACACCTCGAAATGACCTACATTCCGAGATGGGGTCAAATCTTAATCATCTATCATCACACCACTGACTTTAATCCATGAGGAGAGACAACCACCCAACACCATATGATGTCTGGTCATATGTATAAACTCTTGCAGTTATTGAGCGGTTTGAGATGATCACATGAGCATACAAAGAAAGAACGAGAGAAAATCTTTCGACCATAACTAATCATTGATGGACCATAACTAATCAGATAAAGTACCAAACAGGTTTGCCGTTTGCTATTGGTCAATTGACGTGAAATGTGATTTCTGACTTTGTGCTACTTTACGAGGGGTCAACGAATACAGTTGGTCATTTCATTTCTCACATTTTTCTCAGTTCTTTTCTCAATTGAGACGTTCCCTCTCTTCGGCGATTGATCTTGTCGGCGCCGAGTGCCTGACATTTGCAAACACACGCCCACACATCTCCTACAAATTGTCTAAGACACATACGTTCAAACCTCCGAATGGTTTTTTCTGCGTGGCTAGACTTCTTCTCAGATGTTATTGCGAGTGAAGGAGATAAGTTTCTGAGGTCAGAAGCACATTACTCCACCACAACTGACCTTTGACATTAGCGTTGGAAGCAGAGGTCATTGTGCAGCAAAAATTTTTGGTCTGTTTGGGAAAGAGTACTCATTCAAAGTGCAATGGAAATGATCAAATTGAAACAACTCACCGACATTTCACACGCAATTTAATCCTTTTTGTGTTACTATT